CAGAATACCCCGGACCTCATTCACTGCTCTGCCCTGTTCTTATGCCAACCACCTGGGGGTGTCATAGTTCCCCAAATTTTTTTGCACTGTTTTTCCCACCATCCTTCCTTTGCCTGTGCTGTGTCCTCTGTATAGGAGCCCTTCCCAGTCTTTTGTCCACCTGAAACAGGACTGCATATTACTAAGACCCAGTTTTAAGGCTTCAATATTCCATTCATTTATTTCTGAAAAGAAATGCAGAAGATGGATGATTGGCTATGTAGAATTGTAAACCAACGTGCTTCTGTCTGTGAGGAAGAGTCTAGGCTGATTTATTTTCCTGAGTCTTCTCAGGAGAAGTGAATTGAAGAGAAAAACCAAGGCTGATCCCTAGGCTCCCATGTCCTCTCCTTCACTGGGAAGCCTCCCCACTGTCTCCTCCAGGGTCCAGTCCCCTTGAACTCCCCTTGAGGACTTCCCCAATCCTGCAGGGCAGTGCTGGTCACTGGCCTTTCTCGGCCTCTGTCTGCCTGTACTGGGATCTTTGTCTGGCTGCCCACATCTGTCCCAACCTGAGTCTGGTGTTGGGCAGGGGAAGATTGAGACCCTCTATAGCACAGTTCTCCATAAAATTCTCATTCCTTCATGTATTCTTTGGACATTCTCTAACACCTAGTCAGAGCTCAGCCCCATGCAGGGGCAGCTGGGTCCATGGGGCTGAAACAGCCCTGGATTCTGCTATTAGTAGGCACCCTCTCTGGAGGAAGAGGCTCTACTGGATTCCTACACAGACATTGACAACACAATGTGGTCAGGGCTGGGACCTGCCTTTCTTATAGGTTTGTATTGCAAATGTGTTTCTCAAAGTAGGAGGGTACATCCAATTTTATTTAATAGTTACCTCAATTTATTACTTTTAGACTTTTAGCCTTATAATATGTGGGCCTCCATTTGTGTTCTCACCCTGGGACTCACAAATGTTGTCGGATAGGCCCGGTCAATCTCAGAAACAAAGAGGGAGCACACAGATTTCAAAATTTGACATGCTACAAAGACACAGTAATAAAAAGAGTGTTGGACTGGGCATGGATAATAGACAAACTAATTAATGAGAAGTTGGGGTTTTAGATAGATATATATAGGAACTTGATACCTATGGTATACCTTGATACCTTGTAGGTGGCACTACAAATCAAATGGAAAGGATGGAATCTTTGGTATATGGCGGGAAAATCAGCTCACTCTAACCTCAATAGGATACCACCTCCCATCCACTAGAGTGACTACTATCAGGAAAATGGTAAAGAACAAGTTCCGGTTAGGATTGGGACAAGTTAGAACCCTTGTGCATTTCAGTGGGAATGTAAAATGGTGCAGCCACTGTGGAAAACAGTTTGGGGTTCCTCAAAAAGTTAAATGTAGTCTTACCATACCATCCAGCAATTCCGTGCCTAGATAAATACCCAAGAGAATTGAAAGCAGAGAATCAAACAGTTACTTGTATGCGAATGTTCATAGCAGTACTATTCCCAATAGCCAAAAGATGGAAATAATCCAAATGTACATCAAGGGATGAATGGATAAGCAAAATCTAGTATAAACATACAATATAATATTATTCCGCCTTAAAAAGGAATGAAATTCTAGCACATGCTACAACATGAATGACCCTTGTGGACATTATGTTGAGTGAAATAAGTCAATCACAAAAAGGCAAATAGTGTTTGATTCCACTTGCGTGATGTACTTAGAATAGGCCAATTTATAGAAACTGAAAATAGAATAGAGATTACTAGTAGTTGGGGGGAAGGGGAATAGGGTGTTATTGTTCAATGGGTAGAGAGTTTCTGTAACCATGGATGAAGCAGGACTGAAGTATTTTTTTTAAGATTTATTTATTTATCTGAGAGAACACTTGTGAGCAGGGGGAGGAGCAGAGGGAGAAGGAGAGAAAGAATCTCAAGCAGACTCTGCTCTGAGCATGGAGCCCAACTCAGGGCTTAATCCCATGACTCTGAGATCATGACCTGAGCCAAAAATCAAGAGTTGGACACTTGGGCCCCTGGGTGGCTCAGAGGGTTAAGCATCTGCCTTCGGCTCAGGTCATGACCCCAGGGTCGTGGGATCGAGCCCCACATCGGGCTCCTGGCTCAGCAAGGAGCCTGCTTCTCCTTCTCCCTCTGCCTCTCTCCCTACTCAGGCTCTCTCCTCTCTCTCTCTCTCTCTCTCTCTCTCTCTCGCTGTGTTGAGACACATGAGAATGATGAATAAATAAAATCTTTAAAAAAAAAAAGAGTTGGACACAACCACCCGAGCCACCCAGGCACGCCAGGACAGAAATATTTAAAGGTGGGGGGGCTTTTATTTAAAGCTTAGATCCAGGAAGTTGGCAAAGGAGTGAAGCTCAAATCAGTGAATAGGTAGGATTTATGAGGTAGATTAGCCTAAATCAAAGAGTGTGGGGACAAAATGGAGATAATAAGAACACATTAAAAAAAGAATACATTAATGTGGAGATGGTCTTAAATCTCAGAATGTGACAGGGTCAAGAAGGACATTGATTTAAATAATTTTATGGGGTGTGGCTATGAGGGAGTTCTACTCAAATCCAGGAATGCAGTGCTAAAACAGGGATTGGCTTAAATCCATGAATGGAGTGGACCTAAGAGAGGGTAATTGGCTTAAATCTATGAATGGGACAGGGCTTAAAAGGATTTTGGCATAAATTCTTAAAGGGGATGTCCAAAATGGGATTGGCCCACCACATCTTGTAGTGATCAACATTAATTATGTTGGAGTGGGATTAAGAGGGGATTGGTTTAGATTCATGAATTGGGTGTGGCTATGAGAGGAATGATAATAATAAAAGATTGATT